GTAGTGGAATATATTGTTAGCTCCAGGAGATAAAGGAAACTTTCTCATTCTGTCCACGTAGTTAACAACAGAGATAAATCACAGAGCAAAATAAAGCATTTTGTAAACTTATAAATGCATACAGAGATTGATCACAAAGGAAATGGTTACTCAAATCATGAATGTGTACCCTGTCTTTACTTTAGGGTCTCTCATTTTTAAGTGTTGGGTCAGAGGAACCACAGAACTTCAGAATACCAAAATGGATTTGATGTCAGAATTAATGGTAGTAGTGATGGGGAAACAAATCATAGCAGAGATTAATTTAAAAACACAAAATATGGGTTTAACTATAAAATGTTAATATGGGTTTAACTTCATTTTATAGTGAAGTTAACATCACTGGATAGCAGATCTGCACAAAGTCAGTTGATAGTAGTCGGGTGGCATTGCTGCTGGCTTTAAAAGTCACCATGAAGGCAGCCTGTACATGATAGGCATAGCTGTACCCTGGACTGCTCAGAAATAAAGTGACTGGAAAAGCAGTCTGCAGGCAGATTTCTTGCATTGTAAGTAATTATTTCAGGGTGGATTTTTTTTTTGCTTTTGTTTTTTGAAGCTGCTTACAAGAACAATCTTATGTTTAAACAAATAATTTTAAAGGTACAGGTTTAACATATAAACCAATAGGTAACTAACTCTAAGCAAGTCTAATGCTTACTTGTCACTTTTTAGAAAATATAGGAAAGCTGGTAGATTTGATCGATGTTGGAGATTTTTAACTTGATTAAACACAATCAACACAGTTTAGGGGAATGAATTTACATAACCAGATCCGGGTGAAATCTTTTTATTTAAAAATCAGGTTGATAATGTACATCTGGATGAAATAAAACAATCTTTTTTTCTGTTATTGTAAAAGACTGTGTACTATGTACTTTGAACAAAACATTTACTCAAAAACATGATTGCAGAACACATTTCAAAATATAACAAACATTATTTCACTTCTACTGTAAAATGACTTTACATGTAAACTTCAAAAATCATATGCTGTATATTTTTAGATGAAAAACATCCCACTTTCTTAAAAATGTAAACAGTAAAACTTAGGGGTTCAGTTAAAGGGGTAATTTGTAACAAAATACTTCTATTTAAAACAATAGTCAAACATAAATCTCTCATAAATCTCATAAATTAGAATTCAGGTTTACATTTGGTCACACAAAGATTGAGAGCAGGAAATGTAGCTAGCATTTCCCCAAACTAAGCTTTCAGAGAAGCTTTATTTTTGTTTTGCAGCTAGGATTCTGATACTGCAACATTAGGATGTGACAATGAAGGGTCTCCAGGCAAGAAGAGAGAAACAAGCAGTTGTCTTTAGCAGGCAATAATGTAGACAGAGTTCTTCAGCATTAGCTTCTTGGAATGGGGTGTTATTCTGAGACACTGAGAATCTTAATAATGTGGGGACAGAACCCCATATCAGTACATACAGAGACACCAGCATTCTTCCAGTCAGGGCTGGGGGCTTGGTGAAAACTGTATTTCCTTCTCCTCCTCCTTCCTCCTCCTTCCTCCTCCTTCCTCCTCCTCCGTTTTTTTACCATGAACTATTTCCTATTTTATTTTTTAATTAGATTTTATTGGTACATTTTAGATGCACATAGTAATGTATACATTGGTACATTTTAGATACACATTTAGATTTTATTGGTACATTAAGGAGTGTTTAAATGTAGGTGTTATGGTTTGTATTTAGATGCACACCCAAAGCCTCACATGCTCATAGATGTTTGAGGTAGCTGGATCATGGATGTGTGAAACTGGATTTGGGTGTGTGATAACTAAATTAGTTTAGCATTGTTCTAGGTGTGGATAATGGAAGCCTCAACCTGGCTGGGCATGGCACAGTCAATATAATTTGGATGGAAAGAAGGCAGGTTTGCTATTTGCTGCTGCTTCTGGTGGTGGTGATTCCTGCTGGCCATGCTATAGACTGTTTCTCTTCTGTGATGCCTCTCTGCCAGGTTACCCTGCCTTGAAGCCAGCTGATTATGGACTGAAACCTCTACAAACTTTGAGTCATCCTTCCTACATTCATGTCTACTCACGGCTATGTAGGAGGTTATGTCAAGATCTGGTCAATAAAATCCAAAATTATTTTGAATACTGTTTTGGGTTCTGGGTTGAGCTCTCTGCTTCAGGCTCATGTTTAACAGTTTTTGCGGCGTAGGCAGCTTTCTTCTTTGCATCGTAATGAGTGAGTGTAGATTATGGCTGTGAAGTACACGTCCCTCCTGGGTGACTGTTGATGGCCTTGAATTCCACACACATCAATATTTGGGTCAAACTTGCCCCCAGCCAAAGTGGTGAGCTGTTTAGTGTATGCCTAGATTGTTTGGGGGCCCTGACCTGGTGGGTACCAGGGCTTTCTCCATTCCTTCTGGATCCCCATACTACACCTCCTCCATCTGGCCCTCTCCACCCCCTAGAAGGCTATAGTCCATGAGCTTCAACTGACTAAGAAACTCAATATCCTTTTCAGTTTTTCCAGAATCATGTTTTTGTGCTTTTGGCAAAATACATCTTTTGGCCCTCATTAGTGAAATCATTATCATTATTGGCAATTCTTTGGCCTTTTGTCCTTAGCCTCTCTAACATCACGGAGCACTTTAAGTCATATTTTTTACTTACAGATAAGTGATGGCTGAACACATTACCTGTAGAAATTACATGTTTTAACTCCATGGACGTTAGGCTGGTAAATGCCAAGAACCGAGGAAGAATGGCAATCCTGTGACATTCCACTGTACACTGGTGGTACCTCTTCAGGACGTTGTACATTTTTGTCACATTTTCACTGGCAATGATCTTGAAGATGTGTCTCTTGTCACAGCAAGTGGAAACAAGTCCCACTGCTTGCCTGGAAGACTTTGGGGAAGGGGGGTGTTCCTAGTCAGGGAATTCTGGAAATCGTGATCTTCATTCCAAACCACTTCCAGAGATCACAGAAACCCACTGGGTGGTATTCCTCAAATTTGAAATGGGTGAGCATGTTTTCTTTGTTGAAAAGGTGATTTTCCACCTTTATCTTTGAATAGACTTTGGCGTCACCTGGCATCAACATGACAGGGATTTGGACGTGGCTCGGTTCAAGTGGTTGACAGGATGGCGAGCAGCCCGTTGCTCTCCTGAAACAGGGTCACTTTCTGTGCTAGAAAGGGCTTCTTTGTGGTCCTGGTCTTGCTCACCAGGATAGAGGACCCAGGCTGCCAGAGGTCACCTTGACTGCTGACTAGGTCCTCGGCACTGCTGTGCTCCGCGGCCCTGGGATGCCCTCCCATACCAGGAGGCAGCCACATTCTCTCTGCCCAGATCCAGAAGAAAATGTGGATTTATATTAAAGAAGGTTTAAGAGTGAATTCTTCCAGCAAAAAGGGTAAAAGATGTTAATTTGGGATCTGATGCCTTATTAAAAGAATTGAATGCTTGGCAGAGTAGTCAGAATCATCTTTAAGAAATCTGTGCTAAGGGGTAAGGTAGCTTTTTTGCAGCCGGGATTGAAAGAGTGGAAATAGAATCATTTTCCTAAACTCCTTAGAAATTTTCTTTCTTTTTTTCTTTTCTTTAAGAAAAATATCTTTTGGCTTACTTAGGTATTGACCAGCAGTTATGTGCCAGACCTATACTCTCTTTATCTAGAATCTCTTCTTTCCTTTAAGAAAATTATACACATTATTTTTAAATTTTTAAAAAATTTTTGAACTTTTCTATGTGATTAAAATACATAGCTGGGCGTGGTGGCTCACGCCTGTAATCCCAGCACTCGGGAGGCTGAGACAGGACGATCACTGTGAGTTCAAGACCAGCCTGGGCTACAAAGTGAGCTTAAGGCCAGCCTGAACTGCATAGAGAGACCCTGTCTCAAAAAGACAAAACAAAAACAAACAACAAACAACATAAGGGAAAATGATAAAACAGTAAGCTAAATGTCACATTCCTATTAGCAACAAATATCTATGAGTAAATATAAGGATGTAAGTGTGGAATTTGTATAAATAAAAAATTTCCTTAGTTTTCCAAGCATGTTGGGATTCAAGAATTATAAAAGCCAGTTGGATGTGGTGTCCACACCTGTAATCCCAGGTACTCAGGGGGCTAAGGCAGGAGGAGCACAAACTGGGAGCCTAGAGTTAACAAGACCTTCTCTCCTAATAGAAAAAACCAAAACCAAAACAAAGCAACAAAAAATGAATACAAATTAAAAGGCTGAACATGTAGTACAGCACTCTCTTGGGTTCAGTCTTCAAGCCCATAAGACAAAAAAATTATACAACAGAATGGAAAATCAGAATCAAAAATGAAGGAACATCTTCTTTCTACCACGTAGCCCTCTGCTTTGGTGTAAACTGTTAACCCGAGAGCACTTTGATTAGTTGGCTCAGAATATTTCCTGGAGAGCCAAAGTGAGCTAATCCTCAGGCTACAACTCTAATACTTCCTTCATGTTTTAGACATGGTTAAAATCTCATCTATTAGTGATGACATTTAGACACTTTCATTTTTATGTACACTGGTGGCATTGGTCATTTGGTCAAAATACCAGAATCAATTAATAAAAGATAAACCCTAGTAAATTCAGATGTTAGTCTAATTCTATTTATCTAGGCTTGTTTATAAATTAAATTTAAATGATTTATGACTTTATCTTAGATACTGAACATTTTCTCTCAGGCAACATTCCCCTAAAGGAAGAAGAAAAATGCAGCTAAAGCCCCTATTGGTATATTTTTCTTTTTACTAGTAATACTGTTTATGTACCACATAGCATGGCCCAGCAGTAAGCTGCCTCTTACTGAATGCATTCTGAGAGTAATTCTGGTCATGTACTGAGATGAACAATGAGAGAGAGTAGAAGCTAATCATCAATAACCATATTATTTAAATAGATACTAATACTATGGACTCAATTTGTTTCCTCACGTATCATTTTGTTGAAATAAACAAGAAACATTATCTATTAAGTAGATTTTTATATATGAAAGAAGTTTGCAAAGTGGCTACTTGCTGCTTTTTTGGTGTCCAGAGCTGAAATCACTTGAGCCTCTTTACTGATCTCTGCCATCAACAGGATGGGCTGCAGGTCTGAAATGGGTGACAAGGGGATGGATTTCCATCATCTTTCTGAGATGAAGCCCATAGCATCATTCAGAATTTGTCACCATATATTCGGCAGCCTATTACCAATTTTCTGTTTGCTTAACCAAGGCCGGGAAGAAGGACGAAGCCAGATTTATTTGTGGAACTAAATTTCTTTTCAGACTTTTTCTCCGTGACATCTGTGAAATAAAGGGCATATTAATTGGTAAGGGGCACAGTTTTTAGTGTCACAGTCACACACAGTCATATTTCACTATTACAGAAATATTTTAATCCTCCTGGATAAAAAGGTAAAGGTGTTACCCTTGCCAACCACGTGTCCCCAGGAAGAAGAGTTTTAAAAGAGGCAGGTTAGACTCCAGAAGAGTGAGATGGAAAGGCAGAACTTCTAGCTAGAGCTACTTAGCTGGGCAGGGACCATTCTAAAGCTCAGGCACAATCTGGAAAGCTGTGGCTCACAACAAAACCAAGCAAGACTTAGCTAATGAATAATTAACACTGTGTATTAATAGCATCAGAGTGCAATGCCTGGGAGGAAAAAGACAAATCAAATACTGATCATACAAATGAGAAGCCAAAGTTTGTTTTGAATAGGATGATTTTGGAAGAAATTCTAAACTCATTTAGTTTAAAATTTTGGGTCAAGAAATGCCTAGTTTTGTGAGTAATGTTCAACCACCATTTGCTGTGGACAGCATACAGCCTTGAACTCACAATCTTTTTGCCTTGTCCTCTCAAGTAGGAGGGATTATAGGTGTGTGACCCCCTGCTCAGCTGCCTCTTTCTGTTACTTAGTATTTACTTTAAAAATATATTTAATATCAGGTGAGATAAAACAAATAAGAACGCACATATGGGGTATAAGCTATATCAATTATAAAGCCCAATATAAATGTTTTATAATTACTTTTTAGTTTTGGATTATTTATATCTCATGGTATTGTGTTCATCACTTTCTTTCTTTTTTTGTCTTTTTGATACAAGGTCTCATTATGCAGTTCAGGCTGGCCTTCAGCTCACTTTGTAGGCCAGGCTGGTCTCAAACCTGCAAGGTTCCTCATGCCTCAGCCTCCCAAGTATGTTGTAGTTAGGGGTTGTGAGAACAATTACAATCAGAACACAGAATTTATAATATTATTTTATGATGGTCACCCAGAATTAAACACAAGAAAGTGCAGGATATCTGTCCACAACATTAAAGACACAGAATATTCATCCAAGGGCCTGAATCCCATGGCAATGTCCTCCATGAGTTCAGATGAAAACCTAGAGCCCATGACATGCCTCTCATGAGTCCATCTGGAGGTCTAGAGCCCATGAGAAGGACTCATGCCAGTCTGTTTTATGGATCTGTGCTGGAAAGGCCCAAAGGTCAGCAGTAGAAGCTAGAAAGTCTATGCCAGCAGGGTGAAGGAGCTGTGCTGGTTGGGTAGAGGGTTCTACATTGGAACTAAGAAGCCATGCTCAAAACAAGGACCAGGGCTGCCCTGAAAAGCACCACAGCCCTTCTCAGCGACACAGAGGTCCCAAGCTCCTCCAATGATAAGGACAGTTGAGTACATGCCAGGAAGCCATGTGACAAGCTTCTCCTGCAGATTAAACAGCTTACATCTTCCCCTCCGGAGCCAAGAAGTGATGCTCAATGCAAGGACCAGAGCTCCCCCAAAGTGAACCACAGCTACTCTCACAAACAAGGTCCCAAGCTCCTGAAATGACAATGGTCGAATTCACACTGGGGAAGACAGTCATGAAGAGATCCTCCAGGGGAACCAACGGCTCAAACAATACTTAGAGAAACACACAGCACCTCTCTCTTTTTCTCCTTGTCTCTATTTATGCTGGCAACTTTCCTCAGGTGGGTCATCTACACTCAGCACCATGCTGATTTAATTGGTGTTAAGTTGACCACCAGTTTTTAATCCATAACATAGTGTATGTTAAAAAATTACAGAGGAAATATCCAAATTAAATAAGTTTTTAAAAATTATTATGTTTGTCATTGTGTTTGTTATTTGTTATTGAGTTTACTGCAGACAATACAAATCATTTCCTTTTTGTCTAACTTCTTTTGGTCCAGCTATATGGATTTAAAAATTACCATATGGTAGGTCATCTGTTTATTTTTAACCTATTTTAATGACTTGATAAGTGGCCACAGATTAAGTTAGGCCCATGAAAACCTCCAGAACTAGTGGAACAGTGATAGGGTTTGAGTTGTGTAGCTCATTATGGTTAAGTAGAATAATGAAATGTGCAGTGAAGGATCTCAGCTTATCACTTAATGTGTATGTTATCTTTAGTGAGTTACTTCACCTTACTTTAGGACCCATTTTTCCCAACTCTAAAATGGTTCTAACACTTTATTTGTACTTATGGTGAAAATTAAAGGAATTGCTTCTAAAGACATTTTGTAAACTGTAAAGCCTTTTATGTTTTTCCTGTTAATGTACAGGAAAAATTCTTGCTGGTGAGTCAGAAGCTGACCAATGTCATTCATACATACATCTAGAATAACAATACAATAACATACATCTAGCATATTCATAAGAAAGTATGCACTGAAAGAACTTTAGATCTAGAATGCTTCTGGGAACAGAGAACTAATTAAAAAATCAAACAGAAAGATAGACTGTGGAATTTGAATCTACTGGGGAGTTAGAACTAACTTACTTTTTCATGTTGACCCTTCTTCTTTGCTGACATGCCATCCACAGATTGCCTTTGTGATTCTACACCAATGAGTGGGAGGAATTTTATAGTAGTGGGGCTTGGTACCTGCAACCAGAAGAGTAAATCAGACTTATTGAAATTGGTTACTTCTGCATGTCACTGTGGAGGGCAAAGTATGGGTGAGAAAGTCTATTTGTTTCAAACCACACCCCTCCCAATTGCACATGGTTGATTATTGCTTTTTCATTCTTAGCATCTTTTGGTAGTTTAAATCTCTGATGCCTATTAGAATGCACATGTCAAAAAAAAATGGAAAAAGGTATGGGGATTTAGCTCAGCGGCATAAGCGCCTGCATTGCAAGTGCATGGTTGTAAATTTGATCCCGGTACACCCCCCCCCCCCAAAAAAAAAGAATACACATGTCCTTGGAAAAGATAAGTAATATTTAAGATATTGATATTAAGTTAAAATATTTGGTCTTTGACTTATTATTTCTTCGACTCATGGGTTAATTCTTTAACAAGAAGTTTATCTAGAGTGAGAGGCCTCGAGGTAGGAAAAACCCTTGCAAAGAAACAAGGCATGGGCAACATGGGTGCAGCACAGAGGTGGTGGATAGCCCGCTCTGCTTACAAGATGGCAAGTTGTTCAGCACGGGTGGAGCTGTGAACTGAGGTTTTCTGAAGAAGCTGCATCTGTTTTAAAGATCCTGTAGACTGAGCATGGCTGACTAGAACACTGTGATTACCCAGTGATGGAATGGTGTAGGTTGAGAACCAAAATTATCTCCAGGTACCTTAGGTTCTTTAACAGCCATTTGTCCTAACTTTGGTGTCTGACTTAATACTCTCATGACTTAGGCAAACTACTTGGAATATATCACCAGGCTTAGAAGACCTCTAGCGCCCACCATTTACAGCTAGGCTTTTAGCTTTACAGTTTAACAGTTTTGGCAAAGGCCCAGTCACACAGGATTTGTATTTCAGGCCAAGCATTTGGGTTTATAGCTACAACCCTGTAAGATAACATCTTATACCAATGCTCATAAAATGTGGTAAGCTCACAGGAAAGATAGCCTTGCTTTGTTTTGGCCTGTCTATCTGATCATCTCACTGACATAATTTGTAAATATATTGATTTATGACTTTTTTTGTTCTGGGACTATGAAAGTTCACGTTGCTTCTTCCATGATGGAAATGTCATTCAGGGTAACTTGAATCCAGGTCATGGTCACTCGTATTTGGCTCAGAATAAACTATTTTCCTATTCCCTTTAAAGCAGAGTCATTATTTTATATTGACAGAGCACAAGGAGAGTATGGAGCAAGTCTGTTGGAAAATGAAGTCAAATGGTTTTGGCAAAGGCCCAGACACACAGGATTTGTATTTCAGGCCAAGCATTTGGGTTTGTTTATAGGTAATAAAGAGCCTCCACTGTCAAGTTTAAAACAAAACCTTTGACAGCTAAAACCAAAAATTTTCTGGGATTGGACCCCATATATTTATGCAATCATGGAATAAAGTCAGATTTTGCATTATTGTGTTACCCCTCTAGTTCTAGAAATCTCTGACTTACCCTGTAGATGGGCAGAGAGCCAAAAACAATTCCAGCCTCTCTGTTTTCAGTCATGAAACCTTCCAAGGCATTTTTGTGAACCTGCAAATCATAGGAATGAATGCTTAATGGAAAGAGCACATGACATCAGTGGCAAAATACCTGGTTCAAATCCTCAGTTTTTCACTGACTAGCCTAATGGCCTTAGTCAAGTTCTTTCCTTGTTGATCAGTTATGGGAATCAAAGGAACTTGTAAATGTAATCAGGTGATATTCAAATGTCAGATTTAGTGATATTATTATTACTGGTAGCAGTATGACAATAGCAAATTAACAGAAATGAATAGGTTAATATTGCATAATTGATACATATGAGTTCAAAATATTTCATGTATGAGCATGGTCTCCAATTGCATCCATTTACCTCCAAGAGTCTCAAGATTATCTTATTTTATAGCTGGGTAGCTTTCCATTGTACAAAATTATATCTTTCTTATGTGTTCTGCAGTTAATGGGCAAGCTACCCTTGTTATGGGTGAACACTGAGTTATCTCCCTAGTATAAAAAACTGAAGCAGTTAGTGGGATCCAAAAAGCACAATAGATATTATGAAAGTAATAGGGGAAGAAATACCTTAAAAGGGGATTGGTAACCACTGTTAATTTCCTATTTTCTTGCTTTCAATTCTTGTATTGTTTTTGTAATTTTGTTAGGTTTGGTTTTATTCCATCTTGTTTGGTTAGATTTTACTGTGTATGATGGTATGGGCAGCTATTTTGAAGATAATGGGATATGTATTGTGGTAACCATTGTTGATTTCCAGAGTTTTGAAATCCTATAATGCTTTCAATCTTTTGTTTTGATTGGACCTATTCTATTTTGTTTTGTCTGATTTTACTATGTGTGTAGCTATGGACAGGTATTTTGAAGAAAATGAGACATAATGGTAACCATTGTTAATTTCCTGTTATCTTATTTTGAAGTCCTGTAATGATTTCATTCTTTTGTTTCTATTGGTCTTGTTTTGTTCTGTTTTGCTTGATTTTATTGTGTGTCATGATATGGACAGCTATTTTGAAGAAAACAAGAAACATTATGGTAGCCATTGTTGATTTCCTTTTGTCTTGTTTTGAAGTCCTGTATCATTTGCATTGTTCTGTTCTGATTTGCTTTATTTTGTTTTGCTTTGTTTTATTCTCTTTAAAATAAAAAATCAAAAAATTACATAATTTAAAAATCAAAAGGAATGAATAAAAGGAGATTATTGATGAAAATTAGAGAATGCTGACTGAAACACATTTGAACTCAACTTTAAAATTAACCTTTTTAATTTTACTAGGCAACTGTAGAACTAAGACACCAAGGCTATTGTGGTATTTGATTGTTTTGAGGATTCTATAAACCTTTGTAAAAATTTCCCCAAGTTTATTTAATATTTCAGCTGTTATTTTAAAAAGGATTTCTAAATCTCTAAATAAATATTAAGTGATTGCCAACCTTTATTTCTAGATAATACTATGTTAATCCTATTTCACAAAACTGTGTATCTATCACACGCTTATGCAGATATCTTTGCTCATCAAGAGTTTATGATTTAGTGGTGGGAAATAGGGATAAGGATACAAATAATTCTAATTCAGTGTTGAAAATGCGAGGCACTTAATCCTCACAACAGCTCTTTTTAGGGACTTTTAGATGAGAAAAAATGTACGTAACTGTTTAATTCCACACTCCATGCCTTCCCTCTTTACTACCTTGTCCTCAGGGAAAAGAAACTTTCTGATTTTCATTTGAACAGAAAAGTAGGGCTTTTGAAAGTTGTTATAACTAAAGCATTAACTATTAAAAATTCAATATGAGGTAGATACTGTAAGAAAAGAACGCAGTGATGAACATTTCTAGACTTATTGGCCTGCTTTTGAGACTGAAGTGATAATTCCTGCCCATTTGCCTCAGACATTAAAAATTAACTTAGTGTCTTGAGTTGTTGTTCTGATTTATAAATTTTACTTTATATACTTTTTGCCTTTACAAAAATAAAATCATTACATAGACACTCATGCAAACTTTTTTGTCATTCAGTGGTGTTTGAAGCACTCATTCATATAGGTGTTACTCCATTTCCATTCACTGCTCTATAGTATCACAGTTTCTGAAGAAACTACACCTTATTTGCCCACTGCATTGCTGATAAGCATTTAGACTTCTTTCAGTGACAAACACTGTTGCTCTGAGCATTCTTATTTACTGTGTTCTAAGCACATTCTGAAGCATTTCTCTTGACAATCCATTTAATATGGAGTACTTATTTTCAACTTTACTGTATAATGTCACAGTGTTTTTCAATGGTTCTACCAATTTATATCACTACTGCCAACAAATTACTGTCTTGAGGGGGCTGGGGGTTTAGCTCAGCGGCATAAGCGCCTGCCTTGAAAGCAGGCAGTCGTACTTTCAAGGTACCGATAAAAAGGAAAAAAAGACAAAAAAAAAAAAAATTTTTACCGTCTTGATTATGCCAGAGTCACAATAGCTCTTAATGTCATCAGACTTTTTTATTTTGCCTATCTTGTAAATCTAATGTATCTCTCCTAAAACATTATTGATATGCATTTCCATGTTTATTAATAAGGCTGACAATTTTTCATGTTTTTATTGACATTTCTTCTTTTACAGTATATCTGTTCAAGTTATGAAATCTTTTTTTTCTTATGCTTTGCGTTCTCTATACATTTTGGATATTAACCTTTTGTCAGTTATGTGTTGTGTTGTAAAGGTAGGACAGACCTGGACAGTTGGGTAAACTGGGTCTCAGAAGCAAAAGACTAAGAAGAATATGCAGGGAAACAATTATTCTGATTTATAGTGAGTGGGGTAGTCATAGGTTAGTAATGGAAGAAAGTATGGATTGGTATGTTTGATTTATTTTGTAGATGAGCTTGAAGAAATAAATTTTAACTGATTAATTCCTTAGTGTTTAGAATGGAATAAACAACAGAATACTTTTAGTCGTTAATTCTGTACTGAAGAAATGTGTATCTGTGAGATGCAGAATGAATACCAAAGACATTGTATCCTACTTCCCTAGACCAGCCTGTGAATATTACTATATATTGATTGTATATTATATGAAAGAACTTTGTAAATGTGACCGATGTTAAGGTCCTTGAATGAGATTTTTGAATGAGAGTGACCAATATAATCACATGAATCTTTAAAAGCAGAACATGTTTCCTGCTGAATCAGGCCATACAACCACAGTCACACACAGACAGCATTTCTGGCTTTGAAGAGAAAGGAAAGTAATTTGAAATTTTCTCCTAGAATCACCAGAAAGCACAGATCTGGTGACTCTTTGGTTTTAGCTAGGAAGACTTACATCAAATTTTGACCTACAGATAATCTGCAAAAATAACATTATTTAAACCATCAAATTTGTGGTAAGGTAGCAGCAGCAATAGAAAATTAATTAATTGACTGATTGATAAATTGTTGCTGTGGCTGTAGTTACTTTGTTTAGCTACCTTGGGAGAAGAGAGAGACTTGAAAAACTTAAAATCGTGTTGTACTTCAAAGGCCTTAGGAGGTGCACGTTTGGAAAGTAAAGTCGTTGAGCTAGTTTTTCTCCATCTGCATATAAAGATACAAGAAAAATGTTAAACACATAATTCTGCCTTTTACACTGAGCCAACTAATCAAATATCCATGATGTCCTTTGTTGTACTCTAAGAAAGTAGCTTCATCATTTTGTGTATTATAGCAAACCTGTACCGCGGCTTACTAAATGTTTTCTTTTTTTAACTGATATGTTAAGTGACCCAATTGATATGTTGAGCAATACTCTCCCCTGTAAAGAATTGCAAGAATTTCACTTAATTGAAATGTTAATCACGGAGCGGCCCTCTACAAACAAGAAGAGTGGTGCTAAAACAAGCTAACAAGGGCTGTTAATCACGGGTAGGCGCCTCTAGTCTTCGCTAAAGAACTAAAGAAGACAAGAAGGCCCACTAATTTACACATTGTTTGAAGTAGTGTGTTTATATGCAGGGAGATTTGCCCATGAGTTTAACCTTTTTACCTAACCTTAGTTACTCTTCCCACAAGATAGATACTCGCCGTTTTCCTGTTCTGTAGCGCGCCTTATTGCCTCCCCCCACCCACCTATCTGGGCCATAAAGAATTTGGGTTTCTGGTGACCTCTCCCCGACCTGGTGATGATCTGTCATAAAATGAGCCTGCCCCAATTTTAAGAACTGTTTAGCTTCAAAGAAATTACCGGGAAATACTGTGGCCCAAACCCCGATCGGTGCTTTCCTTTTGTTCTGTATGTACCAATGGGTTAGATATCAGATCTTTGTAAAACTTAAGTTCCAGCATCTCATAACTCGTGACCCCTTCGCACTCACTGGCGAAGACAAGCTGTCCTGGGATAATTAACTCTCCACTTTCTTCCCCAAATATTGCTGCAGATGTGCCACTCTAAGATAATGTCAGTCTGCAGGATGGGAGTAATTTGAGCAACACCAGGAACTCCCGGGACTGTGAGAGCTAAGTGGACAGCAATACAGTTTCCAGATGCGGGTCAACAGGTTTAATGGCCTTACAGGTTTCCTCCCCACTTTCCCTTACTTTTAAAAACCCCTTTCCCCAGTCTTGGGCGCGCAGTCTTTGGTTTGATCTAGGAGAGACTGTGCCGCCAGGACTGGCTCAATAAAGCCTTTGCCACTTAAGTTTTGGACTCTTGTTTCCGTGGACTTTATACCGGGGCCCACGTTATAACATTTGGGGGCTCGTCCGGGATGGAAGCAAGACTCCAGACTCATTTCCGAACATCTGAAAGTAAGTGCTCTGGAGGTTTTGTTTGGGCCGCGGTCAATTTGTAATTTTGAGGGGACGCCCTCAATTTGGGAGTGGGAACCACCCGAGGACAGAGTCAGTTGGTTTGTCGGACAAATTCTGTCCATCTGTGAATCTGCCCCGGGTGAGGAACCACTCCGTTCGGAAGGGGACGCCCTTAATTTGGGAAGTGAAGCCCCCGAGGACGAAGTCAATTGGTTTTTGCCATTTGTGACTCCGCCTGGGTGGGGAACCACTTCATTAGTTAAATTTGTTAATTCCTCCAGATCCCAAAATTTGACTAATTTTTGAGCAAAGGCCATTCTGCTGCAGCTTGTCTTGTCCTGTCTCGTCTTGTGTGTCGGTCTGTGTGTTCATTTGTTCTAATTGTTCCCCTTTTTGGTCACCTAACTCTAACAGAGCCTTCTTTCTTAGGAGCTCCTTCCTAGAATTCGGAGTGGGCAAAGGTGATTCCGACCGTTTGCCTAGTCTCTGTAGTTTTTCTGTTTAACCCTAACTTTGCCTTTTAAGTTTTTTTCCAGCAAAACCAGCGACACCACCAGCTATGGGTCAGAACGAGTCCATTATGGGTCGGAACGAATCTGTTCCCAGCACTCCCCTTAGCCTTGTCATTGACCACTTTAAAAAATTCCAGAGGCGAGGTGGGAGATATGGGGAAAGGGTTCGCAAAGCCAGACTAACAACCTTTGTCACACAGGAGTGGCCCCTGGGGACCCAAGGAGTCTGGCCCCCTTTTGGGTCCTTTGATATGGAGACAGCTCGAGCGGTCCGCCAGTATGTATTTGGGCCCCCCGCTCACCCCGATCAGATTGTCTATATCCAGGCTTGGATAGATACAATCTATGATGCTCCCCCTTGGATTGAGCCACTTCCGAATGGAGTCCTAGCAGCCCTCAAACCGAAATCCAAGGCTGAAGAGGAGACCTCCAAGCCCAACGCACCTCCAGTCTTACCTCCGAGCGAAGACTTCTCCGACCCGCTAGACATCCTTCCCTTACCCCCTCCCCCGTATCCTGCCCCTGAGCCACAACCTGACTCCACCTCGCCCTCCCCGCCTCGGCCCATTCGAACCCGCCGCCACGCTCGACCAGAGGGACCTCTGGAACAGGGCCACGAGGCAGCGCCACTGTGTCCTCTGCGGGAGGTCCCAGCCCCGAGTGGGGGCTCCATGTTTGTGTACACCCCCTTTTCTTTCTCTGACCTCTATAACTGGAAAAGTCAGAACCCCCCTTTCTCGAAGGACCCAGAATCTCTGATTAGCCTTATAGAGTCTGTTTTCTCCACCCACCTTCCCACTTGGGATGACTGCCAGCAGATCTTACGCATCCTTTTCACGGCTGAGGAAAGGATGCGAATCTACGCTTTGGGGCAAAAGGGAGTCCGAGAACCGGATGGATCTCCATCCACTGATCGGCAACGAATTGAGCACTTGTTCCCCTCCTCCCGACCCGAGTGGGACCCTAACACGGATGCAGGTAAGAAGGCTCTCGATGAGTATCGCCTCAGGCTCTTAGATGCACTTTGTGCGGCTGCTAAGAAGCCCACCAACCTTTCCCGAGTGAGTGCAGTGCAGCAGTTAGCCGATGAGTCTCCAGCGGTGTTCTTAGAGCGCCTTTTAGAGACCTATAGATTATATACTCCAATCAATCCGATGGCACCCGAGAACGCACGAGCAATTAATATTGCTTTCGTGTCCCAGTCGGCCCCTGATATTAGGAGAAAGTTACAAAAGCTTGAGGGATTCGAGGGAATGCCTCTCAGCCAGTTGGTCGAGGTCGCACAAAAGGTTTTCAACAATAGGGAAACCTTGCAAGAAACAACAACCAAAAGGATGACTAAAGTACTGGAATTACTTTGCGAAAAAGAAGCCAAGAGGTCAGCTAACCCTAGGAAAAAGGAAGCTCGAGATAAGCGACCTCCTCTAGACAAAGAGCAATGTGCGTACTGTAAGGAGATGGGACATTGGCGTAAGGATTGTCCAAAGTTAAAGCCTAAGACAGAACGAGAGACTAAGGCCCTGTTGTCTCAGAAATGAGGAGGTCAGGGCTCGCCGCCACCCCCCGAGCCCCGGATAACTCTCCAAGTGGGGGGACAACCGGTGGACTTCCTAGTCGATACAGGAGCTACCTATTCTGTGCTGACTCAACCATTAGGAAAACTGACCAAGCAATCTGTCAATGTGATAGGAGCTACAGGGGGCCGAAAATCGTACCCAAAGGTGACAGCTAGTCTGGCTCGACCTGGACATAGACTGGTCCAACATGATTTTCTCTGGGTCCCTGAGTGCCCGGATCCCCTTTTAGGGCGGGACCTTCTACATAAATTACAGGTGCAAATTGACTTTGTTACGAATGAACCTAGACTGAAGCTAGGGACTGATACCCCCTCAAAATCAGAGGGTATTAGAGTGTTGGCTCTTGTCCCAGAAGGAGAAAGTTACCGCCTGCTGGGAAGTTTGTCTGGTGCACCCGAGTTGTCACGGACTGACTTAGAATTAGAACTGCTGAACAAATGGAAACAGGAGATTCCAGAAGTCTGGGCAGAAAACAACCCTCCAGGGCTAGCAGTCAACCAAGTCCCCCATGTGGTAGAACTCTTGCCTCAGGCACGCCCCATCTGCTTAAGGCAATACCCAATAAGCCTGCAAGCCCGGAAAGGAATTAAAGTCCACATACAGAGACTAAGAGACAATGATATTCTCATTCCTTGTGTCTCTCCCTGGAACTCGCCCTTGCTCCCAGTTCAGAAACCGGGGACAAATGACTATCGCCCTGTACAGGATCTCCGAGAGGTTAATAGACGAGTGCTGACTCTACACCCAACAGTGCCAAATCCTTACACCCTGCTCAGCCTCCTTAATCCGGAGAACACCTGGTACTCTGTCCTGGACTTGAAGGATGCCTTCTTCACCCTGCCTCTTGCTCCGGTGAGTCAACCCCTATTTGCCTTCGAGTGGACTGACCCAGATACAGGGGTAAAGGAACAGCTGACCTGGACACGTTTACCTCAGGGCTACAAGAACTCTCCCACCCTTTTTGACGAGGCGTTAACAAGAGATCTCTTAGGGTTTAGAGAGGAACACCCCGAGATAGTGCTCCTTCAATATGTAGATGATTTGTTGATAGCCTCAACGTCCCTAGAAACATGTCAAGAGGCAACTGAGGAGTTGTTAAAGACTTTGGGACGATTAGGCTATAAAGTCTCGGCTAAAAAGGCTCAACTGTGTCGCCAGGCCGTGACTTACCTGGGCTATAAATTACAAGAAGGAAAGAGGACTTTATCAAAAGAAAGAATCCAGGCCATATTACAAATCCCATCCCCAGAAACTAAGAAACAGGTGCGGGAGTTTCTGGGAGCTGTCGGATACTGCAGACTATGGATTCTAAACTTTACTGAAATCGCTCGCCCATTGCATGACTCTTTAAAGGGAGAGACTCAAAAGTCGCTCGACTGGACAGATGAGTGCGAGCAGGCTTTCCAACAGCTCAAGCGAGCTCTGACTGAGGCACCAGCCCTGGGGCTCCCTGATGTTACTAAACCCTTCACCTTGTTCGTAGATGAACTCAGAGGCATAGCAAAAGGGGTTCTGACTCAAGATATTGGCCCTTGGAAGAGACCTATAGCCTATCTTTCTAAAAGACTCGACCCAGTGGCAGGAGGGTGGCCTCCGTGCCTGAGAATTTTGGCCGCTGTGGCAATGCTACTCAAAGAGGCTAAGAAGCTCACTTTTGGACAAAAGATTTCTGTGGTAACCTCCCACAGCCTAGAGACTC